TAGATTGATAATAACATTGTTATTAATTAATAATCTCTTCATCCAAAAGATCAGATTATTTTCTGTTAACAGCGAGCGAGAGCCAGTACATTGATACACAGGTTTGTGTTCTCTTCTGTTTGCAGGGCCTTATATGCTGGGCACCGGTCTGCTCCTGTACATGCTGTCTAAGGAAATTTACGTAATCAATCACGAGACCTTTGCTGCCGCTTCAATCGGTGCAGTCATCATTTATAGCATCAAGAAGTTTGGGCCCAGTGTAGCCGCCTTCGCCGATAAAATCAATGAGGTGCAGAAAGTGTTTAGTGTTCAACAGAAGTGAAATTGTGTAGATTAACTGAAATTTTATTGAGACTGAAATATGATCTGGTGATAAATTTGATGATGTGAGCAATTACTCCAAAGACTGTAACTAAGGGTTCTGTTTGACTAATATTTTGTTCTCTCTCTTCCTCTGCAGGATAAAGTGTCAGAGGCTCAGGAAGTGAAGGATCAGGCCATGGGTAGCCTAGCTCAAGGCATTGAGGATGAGAAGAAGGAGCAGTGGAGAGTGGAAGGAAGACACATGCTCTTTGATGCCAAGAGGGTGAGGAGGACAAAAGACTAATGTTTTTCCAGTGACAGATCATCTCTGCCTTCATTTACCATCCATAAATGATGACATCCACTAAATTTGGAATTATTTACTATTAACATTTAGAGTGGCACTAGGTCTAGGTTTGTGACGCTCCTCTTCCCATCTTCCATCAGAACAATGTGGCTATGCTGCTGGAGACCAATTACAGGGAGCGGCTGCACATGGTGACCAATGAGGTGAAGAAGAGGCTGGACTACCAGGTGGAGCTTCAGAACCTGCACCGCCGCATGGAGCTGGAGCACATGGTGAACTGGGTCGAGCAGAGCGTCATAAAGAGCATCACCCCACAGCAGGTACAGGGAATGTGGTCACTCCATTGACGCTTTATTGTATTTATATTATACAAAGGAAGCATTTGTTTAGAACTAAAGGCCTTTTTTTGTCCTCGGGGAAGAATTGTTGAGTAAGAGTGAGCTTACTTTATATTAGCAAGTATGGTAATTACAGACCTATTATTGGAAAGTTTCTTATTACTTTTTCAGGTAGTGTAAGTGGTACTTTTCTATGTTTTCTTACTTTTTTCCAGAATCATTTATAGTCAACTACAAATGTGTCCAAATATAAATGCTACTTTAGT